AACTTTCAATGGGCTTAATTTCTCTGAATGGCGTGAGCAAGTCCAGTTTCACCTTGGTGTTCTGGATCTTGATTTATCACTTACGACTGAGAAACCCCCTGCTCTTACTTATTCTAGCAGTGCTGAGAAAATATCTTTCTATAAAGCTTGGGAAAAATCGAATAGATTAAGCTTAATGTTTATGTGAATGACTATAGCAAACAACATAAAGTGTACATTTTTTAACACTGAAAGTGCTAAAGAATTTATGAAATTTGCTTAGAATTGTTCTCAGTCTGACTCTGCTGATAAGTCTCTTGCTGGGACACTATTAAGTACGTTAACCAACATGAAATTTGATGGTTCTCGTACCATGCATGAGCATATCGTCGAAATGACGAACATAGCAGCAAGACTTAAGACCCTGGGAATGGAAGTGAATGAAAATTTCCTTGTGCAATTTATCATTAACTCTTTGCCTCCTGAGTATGGTCCATTTCACATGAACTACAACACTATGAAAGATAAGTGAAATGTGAATGACTACAATGTATGCTCATTCAAGAGGAAGCAAGGCTTAAGAAAGGAACAAATCACTCCATTAATCTCATGGGTCATCAAATAAGAGTTGTAAAGAAACCTGTAAAGAAGAATGGAAAGGGCAAGCAAGGACCACTAAAGATTAATGTGTCATCTGCCCCAATTCACAAAGAGGAATACAAAGGAATTAAGTGTCACTTTTGCAGAAAGCCTGGACACTATCAAAATGAGTGTTAAAAGCACAAAGACTGGTTCGAAAAGAAAGGTAAACCTTGTGTTTTGTATGTTTTGAATCAAATTTGGCAGAAGTTCTTTATAATACCTGGTGGATTGATTCTGGTTGTACCACTCATGTTTCTAATACGATGCAGGGATTCCTTACAACCCAAATCATAAACCCAAATGAACAATTTGTCTTCATGGGAAACCGAGTCAAAGCGCCAGTTGAAGCTATTGGAACCTATCGGTTGATTTTAGATACTGGACATCATTTAGACCTTTTTCAAACATTTTATGTCCCTTCTATTTCTCGTAATTTGATTTCGTTGTCTAAACTTGATTCTATTGGATACTCATTTAAATTTGGAAATGGTTGTTTTAGTTTGTTTAAACACAATCATCTCATAGGTTCTGGTATTCTTTGTGATGGCCTATACAAGCTTAAACTTGATAACCTTTTCTCTGAGAATTTGATGACTTTGCATCATAATATTGGTACTAAACGTGGTTTTATGAATGAAAGTTCAGCTTATTTGTGGCATAAACGTTTGGGTCATATATCCAAAAAAAGAATTGAAAGATTAGTTAAGAATGAAATATTTAATAAATTAGATTTTACTGATCTTGGCATCTGTGTGAATTATATTAAAGGAAAACACACAAATCACACACTTAAGAAAGCCGCCACAAGAAGCACACAGCTCCTTGAAATTATACACACTGATATTTGTGGACCTTTTGATGTTCCATCTTCTGGTGGAGAGAAATACTTTATCGCCTTTATTGATGATTTTTCACGTTATGGGTATGTCTATTTATTGCATCAAAAATCTCAAGCTATAGATGCCTTAAAGGTGTATATAACCGAGGTTGAGAGACAATTAGACAGAAAAGTAAAAATTATCAGGTCTGATAGAGGGGGTGAATATTATGGAACTTATAATGAATCTGGACAATGTCCAGGTCCATTTGCTAAATTCCTTCAAACTAATGGCATATGTGCTCAATACAC